TTCACAGAGACCAATCCTGGGAACGACCCCCTCTGCCCCGCGCTGGGACAGGGGATCCCTGCAGGGTGCGGCCCTGGCAGTGGGAGCCCGAGCTGGTTCCCCATCTCTACAGCTGGGCTATGCCGGGCAGGGGAGGGGCGGCGGCCCGGCTGGTGTGGGGTCCAGGACCGCGAGATGGAAAGCTGGCGCTGGCCGCTGGGCTGTGCATCCGCTTTGTTTCCCCAGGACTCGAGAGATGCAGGCAGGGAGCCCGGGCCAGGTCCTGCAGGGCATGGGGCCACGATGGGCGCTCCGGCCTGGGGGGCAGCCAACATGCACCCTCCTTAAACCCCTAAAAGCCACGAGGGTGAATCCCTACGGCAGGGTCCCACATGTCGGCACCGTTCCCAGCTCAGTGGTAGCTGGTGTTCCAAGGAACCCTAGGAAACTGGTCTCTGTTGGGGCAGCCTTCCCTGGAGGGTGTTTGGGGTACCTTCAGCCTAGGAACTTGGATTTCAATGGCAGTTAGTGGTCTACTGGCCAGACCCTATCCTCTAGGCAGCAGGTGCTGAGGACAGGCCACATGCAGGCCTACTAGCCCCCCATTGTACTAGCCCCCCCCATTGACCCTTAGCTGTTCCCCACCGCCTCCCCACAGCCCCGTGACTGAGGTCTACCCTGATGTTTGGGGGTTTTCTGAGTATGCCGCCATGGATGCCCAGGGTTTCTTTGTTAATTGTGATGGGACCCAGGACTAACAGGAGCCACCCTGTAACAACAGGAGGAGGTACGATGGAGAGGAAGGTCTAGTAGAGGCAGGTATCAGAGACTCGCATTTACAACCTGTTTTCTTAACTGACAGAGAGTCAAGACACCCCATCCTCACCCTCAGCTGTAGGAAGGGGTGGACATGGCCAGGAGCCACAGATAAGGCAAACCTTCCCTCTGTCTTTCCCACCTGGGGATGGGGACCTATAGGAAGCGTACCTATCCTCACAGGGCATCTCCTGAGGTCACATATAGGTGCTGGTCCTGTGTGACCGTGACCTGGGCTCTCAATCTGAGCTTTTTCTTTGGAGAATATCAAGTGTCCACACTCTTGAAATAAGATAGCATCCTAATGAAGCCCTAGAGCTACCCTTAAAGCACCCCCACCCCACTGCTAACCTCACTTCCAGATCCAGTCACATCATCTCCCCCTTAAATACCTCAGAAATTGTAAGAGGCATCATCATTACAGTCATCACACCTAAAAAAATTTCCTTTCTGAGCATCATACAATACCCTAGCTAGCATCCTATTATCTGTCAGCATGCCACCACAGCAGTTCTAAGCATAACTTTGGAAAAGTGTGGGGGGTTCCAGACACAATCAGAGAGCAGGTGTTCAAAGTTTCACTCAGCAGAAGGGGTAGAATATGAACATTAGACAAGGTGTAATTCACTACATGCCTTCTTTCCTGATGCTTGCTTCCCTGACACGTCTGCCTCTTCACTGCTCCAGGAAAATAGGCCAGTCAGTGGCACAGCTCGGCAGCAGACCCACAACCAGGGGAGGGACAGTGCTAGAGTATAGCACGTGGTTCATTACCTCATTCACCAAGCCCAACCAAAGTTTAGGGCTGTGCTGGGACCTCAAAGTCTGGGGCCCACGCAGGAGCTGCCCACACCTCCACTCTCCAGACACCTGTGCTTATGCCCCCCTGTTCCCTGCCTTTCCTCTCCTGCAGGCCTGGATGACTCTGGCCACAACCCCCCTCCACTCCTGCTGGGGGCCAGGACCTAGCCTGGACCCAAGGCACGGTGAGCCCTGGTTCTGGTGCCGATGGAGCTGGCTACCACTGTGACCCCAGTTGGCAGCAGCCACCCTGCTGTCTCCACGGAGGTGGTTTTGCAGTAAAATTCACATGCCATCCAGTCCACTCCTTTAAAGGGTTCAATTCATCACCATTTAGTACATTTACAGTTATGTAACCAAATCCTCCACCTAGTTCCCGAACATTCTCATGACCTCATCTACCTGCCCTCCATTCCCTCAGCCTTTGAAGGCCTTGATCCCTCGATCTGTGGACTTGCCCCACTTTGATGTTTCAGAAATATGGAACTAGGCACTGTGTGGCTTCTTTCATACCATGTACCTTTGAGGCTTATTCACTTTGTGGTAGAATGCTACTCATTTCTCTCCTGGAAACACCCCATTTCCAAGCCTGTTCCCTACAGAGGATCCCAAGTCAACTGGCTGGTGGTGGGTGGAAGCACTCACCACCTGGGTTGCTTTCACTTTCTTACTCTCAGGAATGAGGTTCATACACAGCTTTCTAAATGGGTCTGTTTTAATTTCCTGGGGTCCACCCAGGATGGCAGTGGGACCCTTTGGTCCATATTTACTGTTTTGAGGAACTGCCAGGCTGTCGCTGCCCCTTCCTGGAACCTTCGCTGGGTCACCAGTCTCTCAGGAGTCATATTTTTCTGGTGTTTTGGGCAACAAAATTGGCATCTCAGTCCCTCCTCTGTCCCCACAGTGTGAGGACACCAGGACTGCCAGAGGAGATGCTGGTGACTTTCTTTAGCACAGCCCCTGGGGTGACTCTGGGCAGGGAAGGTGCCATGCTGGGGAGCTCCATCTTCTGGGCTTCAGTTTCCAGGTCTTTACCCTTAGAGCTTTGGGTATTTTAGCCCATTGGGCAATGGCTGGACCTTCACTGCCCTGCTGGGGCCCGACCCTAACTCTGCTGGCCTCCTCACAGGGACTTCTCCATGGGGGCAGCTGGGCTACACCCCAGGTCAGCGTCGTATCTCATGCCTTCTGGGTAGGAAGGTGTCCTTGCTGGTGTATACCCACTGACGAATGCTGGAAACCTCAGCTCTAGTGCTGGTGGAGATGTGGAAACTGGATCTATCAGCCCGCATCCAGACCGCCACTGACTGGAAACAAACACCAATGACAGCCAGCATGGAGGGCAGGCCTTCCACCACAAAAGCACCCCTCATTGCCAGGACCCTGGGGAGAGCTGATGCCTTGGTTCTACCAGGGAGTGGGGGGGTGCAAGCTCAAAGACCATCCTGACCTCAGGTTCCAGGAAGATAGTGCTAGTCTGGGCAGCAACAGTCTCCAAGCCTCCAGCAGCTTTCTGCACTGAAGCCAGATAGCTAGAATACCCCACTGATACCACCTCTAATCACACCACACACTTACACCTGTGGAGGGTCCCCTTTGCCTAGCATCCAGGGCCCCATACTGGGCCAGGAGGCGTGGCACACAGGGAAAATGGAGGCCTATGCTTTGCTCTGCATACCCCCCTCCCCCCCGGTGGGCTGACTGGGACCCCTCTGAACACCTGCTCAGGTATAGTAGAGTAGGGAAACACCTGGTGAGGTGCATCTGACTCTGTGGGCATAGGGGGAAATGACAGCCACTGTGGAGTGGCCACCAGCGGTGACAGGGTATAGCTGTGCTTGGCAGAGGTAGAGAATGGGAAGAAGAGGGACAAGACTTGTGGGTGTGAGAACCAGTTCTAGAGTGACTAAACGGTGTTGTGGAATTGAAGTTGCTGGTAGTGACCCTAGAGGACAATCCTCCATGGTAGTCACTATCCTTTCTCTCCTGGGTGGTTGGAGTGTGGACATTAGCACTCCTCTGAAGGTGACTCCTATGTCATTGGTTCCAGAGCTCCTTAAGGAGGTGGAGGTGCCCCCAGCTGTGCTGGGTGTCCCTGCACACAGCACTGGGGGCAGCTGCCACACACCTGTGGCAGAGGAGGTGGGCATCCCTATACCGGCACCAGGGCTCCTGCAGGTCACAGAGCGACGGCGTAAGTATAGCTGAGTCACTCAGCATGTCCCTGGGGTCACCACGAGCTCACTGGGTCCTAAGTCCTGGGCAAGAGTCGGGTGGAAACAGGGTGGGCCAAGTCCCTCTGATTTCTGCCCCAACGGTGAAACGAGGTAATCGTGAGTGCTCTGATGGCAGGCCTCATAGGAACACGGGTTACTCATGACACCCCACCCCTGACAGAGCCCCTGAGCAGCGTCTCCTCCCTCGAGGTACATTTTGACCTCCTGGACCTCACAGAGCTGACAGACATGTCGGACCAGGAGCTGGCTGAGGTCTTCGCCGACTCAGATGAAGAGAACCTTGCCCATGACTCCCCAGCAGGTAAGGACCATTAGCAGCTGTAGGGTCTTGAAGACCTGTTGGGGGTGTTGCGAAGGCTGTGGGGTGACAGGGCTGTGAGAGTTAAGAGGGCTGTGGGAGTGTCAGGAAGCTCTGGGGGTATTAAGAGGGCTATGGGGATGGACAGTAAGGCCGGCTGTGAAATCCTGGGGACCAGAAGTGGTGGCAGTGGAATTCAGGGGTCTCTGTCGGAGCTATATCCCCTAGGTTGACTGTACTGTCTCAGCTCTTCCCAGGGAAGTCTGGAAGATTACAGGGCCCCACACCCTTGGTTCCCATCAGCCTCAGGTGACATGGATCTTAGCCACAGCTGACCTAGTGAGATGGGGTGGAGGGCTCACATCACAGCCTAGCAGAGCCTGTGCCCAGGGAAGGGGCTGCAGAGACACAGGAGCACATAAGGACCTGAGGCAGGGATACAGGCTGAAGGGACATACCTCTGCACATCACACAAACAAGCCTCATGTAAGAGACCTGCACATACATGCAGTTACAGGCATATGCATGCAAGCATAAACAAGCATCTCATGCATGGGACACCTGCACAAAATAAGGTTTCTTAAAAGGGATACACATACATTCATGTGCACATAAAGGTCTCTCCTGCACAGGAAACATATGCATATTAAGTCTTTCTCTCAAAACCACCCACCTGGTGAAGTCCTTCTGGCTGAAGAGCCCCTGTTGTCCCCACCAGGCCTGCACCCACTGCCCCGGGCTGGCTGCCTCTGCTCCCCATCCTGGACCCGCATGAGGGCTGAACAGAGCCATGACAAGCCACCACTCAGTGATCCAGAGAGGCCAGATGTCACCACCACGGACACTTTCCTCACTGTGGACAGGCCCAAGGAGGACTAGGCTGCCTGCCTGCCCCAAGGTGCAGTGGCCCCAAGGAAAGGACTTGAGTAGACCAGAGTCCCGGGCACCAGCCCCTGCCTCCCTGCTGGTTATGTGAAACCTGGAACCTCTGAAGCACAAGCCCAGCCTGATGGCCTTACTCAGCTGTGACCAAGGCCTGGTACTCCAAGCCCACACCCACAGCTCCGCCCTCCCCCCTAAAGCCTCATCCAGGGTCATCCAGAATGACCAGGGTGGATGGGCAGTGGGCCTTCTGGAAAGTTTATCTACAGGCTCAAGCTCTTAGCTCTTCCTGATGCCTTGTGAATGTGACGACAGGAGATGGTCACTCAGTAAATCTGAGGCATTCCTGCATCTGACTTGGCTGCCACGTGCTACAGTAACCCCTTCCACTTGTCCCCTTCCTGCTGCCCAGGAAGCGACTGAGAAAGGCCACAGGGGCCAATTCTGCTGCCTGCCCAGGTCAAAGGCCAGGCTGACCACACACAGCTCAAAACACCAAATAATGCCACAACTGCCTCGGACCACAACACCATCTTGAAAGCTGGAAGCAGGGAGAAGAGGCCAGCAGGCTGGCTCCCACTCTTGGCCCATGAAAGGAGCACATATATGCTGGCCAACCCCCCACCCCCACCCCAGTGTCCATCCTCAGCACCTTCCTGGCTAGGGTACAGCTTCTAGAACCCACTGATTTGCAGCCTGGCTGTGACATAATACGTTACACAGAGGTTAGCATGGTGCACACAGCAGTGGTATGTTAAATAAAGGTGTAGGGTCACTCCCCGCCCCATCTACATGGCTTCTGGGGAGCCTGTCATCCACCACCACACCCTGAGGCACCATCTGCAGCCACACCACCATCCCAGACCCCAGCCAGCCTTGTTCCCCCAGACTCAAGCAGCTGTTTCCTTAGAAGGGGGTGGGTGCAGCTATCAGAGACAACTGCCCACTCCTCCCCAGTGCTGACCTTCCCCACTGCCATCACTCCTGCCACCGCGTGTCACACTCGTGGGATTAAAACAAACTGCGTAGGCCTGACTCTGTGACAATGAGTGCGTGGGGGATTCCTGAGGATGGGGCTCGGGCAGTGGCACAACTGGAGGAACCCCAGGGGACACTGTGCTGATCCAGGTCACATCTTGGTCTGAGCGTCCTGGATCTCAAGTCCCCAGGCGCCATGATGCCTTAAGTCCCCACCAACCGGTGATCATTTCTGGCATGTGGCCCTCACTGAAATAGGTCGTGTGAGATGGAAAATCTAGCCAATGGTGCCTAGTTGTGGGTCAGCGTCCATGTCACTGCATCACCTCAGTTCATGGGCACAGGAAGGCACCGACTGTGAGCCAGAGGGCAAGGTGTAGGCTGGACACGGCCAAGGATGGGAGTCCTCAGAGCCACACCACAAATAGACGCATGACTATGGTGCTGGGATAGCAATGTCTAGTCCCAAGACACAAGGGCCACAGGGCCACTCACCTCCACAGAGCACATATGACATACACCTATGACGTGCACAGCAAGAAGGAGATTCCAGGTGGACACACATGTGAGTGGGGAAGTGAGGCCCTGTAGGGAGAGCTGACAGGGGCAATGTTGGCTGTCCAGAGGTGGAAACACGTATCAGGAGGCTGTGCAGGAGGAAGCAATGGGCGGTGGGGGAACCAGCAGCCCAGATTAACAAGGGCCTGGCAGTGAAGGCAGGGTTGATCCAAGGCTTTCTCAGCCATGAGGATGGAGGGTCAGCCGTAGAAGGGCCATCTCCAGGGCTGACCCCTGATCTGGCCCCTCCACTGGAACACAGGCTTGGGTCCCTGCTTTCCCACCCGTGACATGTGGTGAGTCACGCCAGTCACAGATTTCCAAGGAACCACGGCAAACCTGCACAAAGGAGCCCGGCATGCACAAAGGGTGGGGTGCCCTGGTGCACAGCGAGAGCCACCCCAGCACCTACCTGGCCGGGGCCTGAGAGGGTAGTTATAGACATACAAAGAGCAAAAGCTAAAATCGTACCAACTTGGAAACTATTTTTTGAGGCTCTGAGAAAAACACGACAAACGGGGGGAAATCAAGGCAATACTCACACTGTCTAATGTCAGGGCCTCAGCGAGCCAGAGGGAAGTAAGTGAGCATGGCAAAGGAGCAAGAGTGGCCACCCCAATGTCACAGCTGGGTTGAAAGGCACCCTTGGCACAGCACAGGCCCAGCTTTCCGATGATTGGACTCCAGCAGGGACAACTCGTGCCAGAAGCCCAGCAGGCACCTCAACACATGCTGCAACTTCAGCACCTATGGTCCCAACAAGGTCGGGGTAAAGGGGGGCTGGACACACATGGGCCCTGCAGACACCCCTGGCAGTCCCTGAAGGCTCTCACCACCCTTCCTCCCCTCAGGCGGCAACCCACTGGCCCAGATGTAAAGGTCAGGCATTAGTGGCCAGGCTGGACCAAGAGCCGTCCTTCCCGCAGGACTGGGTCTGTGTGTCCACTGGCTTCTCTATTCTTCTCTCGAGGGACCATCCTGCCAACATAGTGTCTCCCTCCACAGGGCAGCTCTGAGGCATCCCCATGAGCTTCCCGTGAGGTGACAGTAAAGCCTCAACTCACCCGGGCAGTTAGGGTGCCTGTCCAGGTCCAGTAACTTAGACACGTTCCTCCATAGACCATGACCCTCAGCTTGTCCTACACCCTCTCCCAGGTGCATCCTGAGGGTGGGCAGGTACTGGAAGCTCCTATTCCAGGTCTGGCCCATATAGGGATATGAGAGGTACAATTCAGAAAGGGGAGCTCTGTGGCCCCAGGGCCTCATCAACACGCTGGACAGAGTCACTTTGGGTTTAATCTGGGGCTCATGTGCAGATGTGAGGCTACGCGGGACTCTCCTGCACCTGGCCCTCCACCCGCCCCTCTGTCCGTTCCCGGTTCCAGCCCTTCAGCCCCTTGGGGAGCGAAGTGTCTTCCTCCAGGCTGCCAGTGCCCTCCACAAACTCCTCATAGGTGGACTTCTCTGCAAAGGGCCGGGGACCCAGCAGCTCGACCATGTCCACATTCTCCAGGACTTCCTTCTCCAGGAGTCTGTGTCCCACCTGGAAGCACAGGTTATCAGCAAACAGCCACAGCAGGAAGGGGCCCATCTGACCTGGGATTTGCATATAGACCTGACCATGACCTGACTGACGACTCGGACTGCCTTTTAACCTGTGATCTGACAGTCCACTGTACCCTCTGACCCTGACTTGTCCCATGCAGTGACCTGCTTTCTGACCCACACCCAGAAGCCAGTACCAGCCTGCTTGCCTTCTCCACTTGCTCCCGGCAGGAAGTCAGCAGCTGCAAGGTCCGAGCGTAGGCAGTACTGATGAGGTGCCGCACCTCCTCGTCGATGAGCTGGGCTGTGGCCTCGCTGTATGGCTTCTCCACCAATGCCTCGCCCTCCCGAGGGAGGTCAAACGACACGTGGCCCAGCTTCTCACTCATCCCAAACTGGACGATCTGTACGTGCAGAGAGCCACGTGAGCTTGCGATGACCACTCACACCTGTGACACACACATCTATGAAGCCCACAGCTGAGATAATACCCACCACACCTTACCTGTGGGGCCTGTTCCTGTGATGCTTGAAACCCAGGTAATGCCTATGCTCACATCTAAGACACCTACCCACAGCTGTGGTACCTATCACACCTGAGAGGACGCCAACACTTGTGATGCTCGCACCTGTGCATAGGCACTCTGTGTGACCTTCCTCAGGTCATCCTGGGCACCGGTGGTGATCCGCCCAAAGAATAGCTGTTCGGCGACCCTGCCCCCCAGCATCATGCACATGCGGTCGAAGAGCTGCTCCCGTGTGTACAGGTACTGCTCCCGGGGCAGGTACTGGGCATAGCCAAGGCCTTTCCCCCGGGGGATGATGGACACCTGCAAGACAGCACCAGCTCCCCCTGGGGACGGGACTCTTGTGACCCTGGAAGGTCCACCCAGCCCCTCCATTTTCACAGGATGGGTGACTGAGAGAGAAGTCCTTCATGCGTTCCCCACAGTCCCTCAAGTCAGCACAGATCATGGTCACCTTATCAGGGAGGCTGAGGGGACCCAGGAAGGTCAAGGAGCACAGAGAAGGCTGGGGGAAAACCAGGGACATGGGGTGCAAGGGACGTACGGAGGCAGGAGATATCCAGGGACTTCAAGGTGGCCATAGATAAAGGGACTCCAGGAAAGCTCTAGGGAGGGCACTGACCTTGAGCAGAGGGTCTGTGTGCTCCAGGAACCAGCCCACCACAGCATGCCCAGCCTCATGGTAGGCCACCGTTATCTTCTCACTGGGCTGCAGGATCTGAGTTGTCTTCTCTAGGCCTGGAACGAGGACCGACACAGGTAAGCCAGAGAGGTTAGGGGTCAGGACCCAGGCCCCCTCACAAATGTGTGCATACACAGGCTGGGATTCCCTCTCCAGGACCAGGCAACTCACTGTGTAAAGACATGCAGGATGGAACTCCCCTCACCACACATGGACATGGAGGCTGGGACCGACCACCTTGTGTGGACATGGGAGGCTGGGGACCCCTCCCCATGTGTGGATATGCAGGCCCTCCTCCCTCTGACCTGGGACTCACCTCCGATGACTCTCTCGATGGCCTGCTCAAAGTGTCTGTTCTGCACTGAGGAGCTGAGGTGGCGGGCAGCAATCAGGGCTGCCTCGTTGCAAACATTGGAGATGTCAGCACCTGACCCAGGAGACAGCAGCTGACACTCAGCACTCTGAGCTCTCAGGACTCAGCACTGACCTCTGGGTGGGCGCTGGGCCCTTTACCATGGAAAAGCCCTCCATTTTTCTGACTGAGGGGAAGTGCTCCTCAGTCTCCTCTTTCAGTTTTCCCTAAAAAACTTCACTAAGGAAGAGCACAAACCCTTCTCTTCTCAAGTGCAGTTTTTAATTAAAGACAAGACAGCCAGCCACACAGCAAGGGGAGTCTTCACTCCATGCTGACTGCTTCTCTGGCGAGCATTAAGACAATTTTACAGAGGAGCAAGTCAGCTTCAGGGCTGAACCACCACTTGACACAAGCCTGGCTTCTAAAGACAAGGCTGGCCCATGCCATGACCGCAGAGCTGCCCATTAGTCCACTGAAGAGCACCGAGAAAATGGATCCTGCTGCACGGTGTCTGCCCACACTCACCTGTGAACCCCGGAGTGAGCGCAGCCAGCTTCCTTGCCAGAGTGTCCTTACTGAGGCTTTCATCCAATTTCAGTGGACGCAAATGGACCTTGAAGATGGAAGATCTGCCCTTGATGTCTGGAGGTCCTGAAAGAGAAGGTGTGTGAGTGCGGCTCACTGCGCCCGGGGCCTCTACAGTGCAGCACAGGCTGTGAGCACAGGCAGAAAGAAGGTGGGTCGGGACATGTGCTAACCTTCCCAAGTTCACATTCCCAAGGCCACACCATCTGACCACAAGATACAGGAATTTCCCAGGTACCAAAGGAGTGTCACGGTGGTACTAAGGTTTTCTAACAAGCAGGTAGGTACAGGATCACAAAGGGTGAGGACAAATGGGGACAGCCAACAGTCAGGACAGATCTTTCCCTTTAGGTTACGGTTTTGTTTCTCAACACCATGTATCACGCTGGCGTTCTCATGAGTGAATGCCAAAGTCAGCAACTCAAAGGCTGTCAGCCACATGTGGGTCCCACTGTAGACACCTTGGTAGAAACTAAAGGGCCTTTCAGGACATCACAGTCACAACTCAGGAGCCGCCTCCAAGCCTTTTGCAAGCCCACCACCTTCAGTCAAAAGGGGACAACGTGAAGATGAAAGTCAAGTGCAGGAACCAGGAGTTACCAATGTAAATTTGCCGGTCAAAGCGACCTGGACGCATGAGGGCTGGGTCAAGGATGTCAGGCCTGTTGGTGCCCGCCAAGACGATGACATTGGTGGTAGAGTTGAACCCTGGACATGGAAAAGCAGGTGAAGCTGAGGCAGCCCCGAGCCGTACCTAGTTATCTCCCCTGGCCTCAGCCTGAGAGCAGAATGCTGCTGCTCTCCCATGTACCTCTCCCGCATACCTGTCCCTCTGCCCCTCCTCTATACCTTTCTCAACTGCTCTCCTGGCCATCTGTGCCATACATCTGTCCAATACACACCCAAGTACCTTCTCCAAATAGCGTCCTCCTGCTTCTCCTGCACACCTGCTCTGCGCCTATCCAGAGCTCCTCCCACGCACCTGTTCCACATCCTCTCCATTCTGCACACCTCTTTTACACACCAGTTCTGCTTCCACCCCCATACATTTGTCCTGCACATCTGTCCACTCTTTGGCACATGTCCTGTACAGGTGTCCCTCACACTGACACTTTCCATCCTAGAGCCAGCTCGTCCTCAGCTTCCTCTACCCTGGGACCCAGGGCTCCTACTCACCCCACATCAGTGCTGGCAGGAGACCAGGTAGAGAAAACTTGGGCCAGACAAGGCCACAGACGCCCATCTGTTCTCTCTCTGAGGTGATTCTACAAGGGCCTCGGCCTGGGCATCCCTCCCCAGGGACCTCCAGCTAGCACCAAAGGACGTCAAGATGTCTCCCTAACCAATGCTGGTTCCACATCAGATACTACATGCTCAAGGGGACCAGGAGAATCCTTCACTCTGTGCTGCATTCATCAAAGCATAGTCACACCAGTGCTCCTCCCTGTCACATTCCAGAATGTTCCATAACTATTGGGAACTCAACCAAGTCCACTCACCATCCATCTCCACGAGCATCTGGTTCAGTGTGTTTTCCTGCTCACTGTGACCCCCAAAGTGCCCTCGACCACGCTTCCTGCCGATGGCGTCGATCTCATCAATGAACAA